AGACGGACAGAAAATATGGCATCTGTGCAGGACCGCCCTTTCCCTATACCACATTGGGGCTCCACAAGCCTCTCCCCAGCGTGCCTAGCAAGGCGATGTTGAATAATCCTTGCCAGGACCTTTCCCGGCACACTGAGGAGTGAGGTGCCCCTGTGATTGTTACAGTCTGTGGGATCCCCCTTCTTAAAGAGAGGGACCACCAGGGCAACCTTCCAATCCTGCGGAACCCATCCAGTGGTCCAGACCGTTGTTATGATGTCATGTAGGGCAGTCTGTGCACAAACGCTACCCTCCCTCAGCATTTCGCTTGGGAGATCATCTCTGCCCGGTGCCTTTCTTGGTCACAGGGGGTGACTTCTTCCAATATTTGAGGCACCGCAGCCTCATCAGGGTCATCCCCATTTTGTACCACGATGTTTTCCTGACGGAGGGTTTTCCCCTCCCCCAGGACCTCACAGAAATTGCTCAGCAAATCTGCAAACCTGTTCCTGGGGGTCGGAGATTGGATCACCATTTTTTCACCTAATTATGGTAATAGGTGTAGCGCTGCAAGTTACTTTTTTGATTAAGTTAAATAGGGATTTGTGATCGGGGGCCACTGAGGCAGACTCCATCTCCTCAGCAACCCCTGACCACCACCCATCCTTGCAGCGCCTCATGGCTCTTCAAACCTCTGAGCGAAGGATGCGGTAAGCCTCCTCATTCTCTGATGTGGGATGCTGTAGACGATTAGAGTGGGCCTGTCGCTTTTTCTCAACCATCCTGTACACCTCCTCTGTCAGCCAAGGTAACTGGGGAGGTCTGGATCACGTACCCAAAATAGCCATTGCAGCTACACGAGTCACAGTCCTAAACCTCACCCATTTACCCTCGACATCAGGAGGAATGAGGGACGATGCCAACCCCAGCCGCAAGCGATGATTAAATTCTCGCTTCCAACATTCATCAGCTAACTCAGACCAGGCCACCTTAGGTTGGAATGAGGTCATGGGTGAACACCCACCACCGGAGTGGAAGAATGGCAGGCACATCTTAAAGATGACTAGTCGATGATCAGAGGGCAGATCAGCTCCACAGTAGGTCCTGGTGTCAAGGATATGGGCTCGCATCCGCTGATCCGTCACTATGTTTTCAGTTTCAGTTTATTCATTTTGTTAATGTGTTGGATTAACAGGGTGTTAAAGTCAGAAATTAGCATGTAACTGGGATATTAGCATGATGCTAGTGTGAGGGATTAGCATGTCACTGGTCACAGAAGTAGCTATGTTAAAGTCAGAGTTTACATATCAACAGAGATATGTAAACTCTGACTTTAACATAGCTACACTAACAGCATGCTAATCTCCCAGTTACATGCTAATTTTTGACTTTAAAACAGAAAACTAATTTTGATTTTTGTCTTTTTACCAATATAATCAATGTGATCTTCAAAATTTAGTTTTGAATCCAGGATGACCCCAAGATACTTATAGATCTTGACTTGCTCTATATGATAATTATTTACGGAATGTAATTGGGGAAAAATAACTTCCTGCTTTAGTCCTGGTGAGAAGCATAGCACCTTGGTTTTGGAGGTATTCAGGAATAGTTTAAGAGCAACTAGCTGATGTTGTAGTTTGTTGAAATCACCCTGGAGCTTAGCAATCACGTCATCCAGAGAGCGGCCAGCAGTAATCAGTATCGTGTCATCTGCAAAAGATTTACCCTGGAATGATCCAGGTCAGTGCCCAAGTCATTGACATAAAGAGAGAACAAGAGGGGGCCGAGGATGGAACCCTGTGGAACCCCTTTTGTTATCTTAACACTGTTTGACCTCCAACCATCTGTGAATACAGTTTGGGTGCGAGAAAAGAGGTAATTTTGTAACCATTTTACTGCGTTTTCGGAAAAACCGAGGCAACTTAGTTTACTAAGCAGGGTGTTGTGGTCTACTGTATCAAAAGCTTTGGACAGGTTTAGATAAAGACCGGCACAGTACTGCTTATTATCAAGGCTACTGTAAATGTGATTCAAAGAGGCTAATGCAGCATATGTGGTGCTGTATTTTTTTCGGAACCCAGATTGTTTTAGATGTAGTAGATTGTTGGTGGACGGGAAACTGCTAATTTGGTAGGTCAATATTTTTTAAAAAAAATTCATCAACGGGAACAAAATTGAGATAGGTCGGTAGTTATTTGGATCATCTTTAGGGCCCCCTTTGTGAAGTGGACGGACATAGGAATGTTTCCATGCTAGAGGAACTGATGCTTCTTTGATGGACAGGTTGAAAAAATGGGCTATAGGTTTGTATATTAGGTGACCAACAGTTTGTAGAGCAAAGACGGGAATACTATCTGCTCCGGTAGAGGAGGACCCTTTGAGGTAGGACAGTTGTTTCAGAGCATTACTTTCGTGGATTGGCTGGAAACTAAATTCGTTTAATGTTTGGACAGGGGTGTAGGAATTTTCATGAGCAGGGGTGACTCCCAATACATTATCAAAAAGATTACCAGCTTCAGAAAAATGAAAGTTAAAATTGTCAACTATATTTTTGGGATCTGAAAAATATTCCCCATTTCGGTTAAGCTCAACGGGCAGATTGTCTGTTTTGGATGCCTTTTCGATACATTTGATTTTTTTTTCAAAAAAATCCTGGCATTTCCATGTTATTCCAGGAGAGTGGAGGAAAATTAGGCATTTTTTGCATGCCGTATTTTTTTGACGCATCTATTCCTTAAAATCCTGTATTCTAGCCAGTCATAGACCAAATTACTTTTCTGAGCACATGCCCAAGCCTTGTCCCTAGTTTTCATGAGCTCTGTAATCAAAGGATCAAACCATGGTGGGCGGTTGCCTTTAGTTTTAAATCTAACCAACGGAGCATGTTTGTTAAGAATTTGGAGAAACGTGTACCTGAAGGTCTCCCAAGCCGTAGTCAGGTTGGGGATATCACAGACCTTGTCAATATCCGAGTGAAGCACATCATTAGTAAATGCCTGAGTGCTGAAGTGTCTCATAGAGTGCTTCTCAACCAATTTAGGGGGGCTTTGGGTCTGGCTGATGATCTCACCCCAAAAAGTGAAGGAGTGATCACTAAGGTTATTACCCAGAACACCAGTCAGTGTGAAATTGTGAGGGGCATTTGTCAATAGGACGTCAAGCAGAGATGACTGTCCCGGACTTTTTTAGGTTGGGTCTTGTGGGGACATTTATTAATTGAAACAGATTACATTCATCTGCAAAATTTGTGACCACGGCCGGCGGGTTTAGCCAATTTCAATTTAGATCACCCACTAAAACTATTTTACCTTTAGGGAGGCCCCCAAAAAGCTCTCTCAGTACAGATGCAGCTTCAACATCCTTCCTACTAGGCAGTCATAGCAGCACACCACCAATATCTGTTGATTATTTGGGAGAGTTATTCTGAGAGCCAGACCTTCAAAGCAACATTTTTTAAACAAGGAGTGAGCTAGTGAACATGCAATAGTATTACGAACATAGATGGCAATTCCACCTCCTTTAGATCCTCGGTCAAGTCGAAAAAGGTTGTAGTTGTCAATCACAATCTGCAAGTCATTAACGGCAGGAGTGAGAAATGTTTCTGTTAGGCAAAAAATGTCCGGATCAAAATTTTCCACTTCTAGTTTTAGTTGACTTAATTTAATCACAAGCCCTCTGATGTTGACATGTAGAACACCAACACCTTTCCTGCCAGAAAAATCTACAGAATTATACGAGTTCTTTTCATTTGGGCCAGGATGAAGCTCAATACCACCCAGAAATAAGAAAAGTAGAATTAATAGTTTGCACAAGTATTTTATGTGAAAGGATGAAGAGCGGCGAACCTTGGACGAATAGCAGTAGCTCGGAGATGGTGTTATTTTTAAGAGCAGAATGAAGTTTGGAAGGAGTGCTGGTGAAGTAATGGGACAAAGATAGGGTTTAAAAGGATACAATGATGGAGCAGATGTTCTTGCTTGGACCCGGCATGCATCCATGATGTTGTGTGGATGCGCCAATGCCAGAACAGAGTGTTGGTAATTACAAGCCCATTGGCTGCACAAAAATCTAGCAGCCTCCTACCGTTGTTATTGAGCTAATATGGCTCATGCCTTCCAATCACTCCAGACCAGGTGCCAGCATCATGACCAACTCGGGCATTGCAGTCACCCAAAAAGATCACTCTATCCTGAGGGGCCACTTTAGCCAGCACCTGTGACAGGAGGTCATAGAAGGCATCTGAAGAGCCACACCCTGTTGTTTGGCAGTCTCCTGCCCCAAGTAGAGGACTGTCCACCCCTCATGGTGACAGGAGCCAGAGCCGGTCCACCGGACCTCCTGAATGCCACAGAGATCCAGGCGGTACCGGTCCAGCTCCTGACAGAGGAGTGGCAGCCTCTCCTCCGCAGTGAGCGTTTGAACATTCCACATGGCCATCCGTAGTGGCTTGTCGTTGTTTCTGGAGGCGCCCTGAGGGTAAAGATTCAATCTCCTGGCTCTACCAGATGGGGTTTGGCTAGGAGACGTCATAGATGCCTGGCACCCCGGGGCCTCTGGCACAAGCTTATTAGATAGATATTTCAGTCGTGGTTTAGTGTACACATTCACTTTCACCAACTCACTTTCACACCCACGTGCGCGAGCGCAGACACACATACACACTCACTCCCAGCGAAAGGCTAACTCATAACATCTCACAGTGGATCGCTCCGCTGAACAAAATAGTCCCGCGGTTCAGTTTGCAAGCATGAGTTAACGTTTTAATTCGATGTTAGACAAAAAAAGTATTTTATGGAAGCTGGTTCGCAAGTACAGGTGTTCGTAAGTCGGGTGTTGGTAAATCGAGAAATGCCTGTATATCAGGAAAATGCAAGAAGAATTATTTAATAATCCATCGTGGAGAAATGTATATTGTATCAAGGATTATTTTTTTCAATCAAAACATGTAAAGGATAAAAGTAGAAACATTCAGGAAATGGGAATGATTCATCATGTAACTCACCATCGCATGTTTAACATACCGTCTGTGACAATAAATGAGATATGTTTATTTTGATTCCACAGTATTGGAAGGCGTTGTTGTTGTTTGTATGAATTGATTAATGCCACCACTTGCAGAAGTGCTTCTCCAGTATTGGTACCAGGGCTTTCTTCAAATTCTGAAGAATATAGAAACATTAGTTTACTCTATTAAATTTACTAAATACTTTTTTTAGATTTCACAACAAAAAATAATTTCGTAACCTGATTATCTTCTAAAACAGAATAACACTTACCAAGGCATGATGTATTGCTGAATAAAACATGCATTTGTATCAATTTTTTTTACGTGAAATGTCATCGTGGGATGTTAACACATACACACTGGTATACACGCTACCATTTGTTGGCAATCAGTGGTCATTGGTTGTATATTAAGCGGTTTGTGAATGTGTGTACAGTAAGTCCTTGCGGTTCTTCCATTCGAGAACGCTGTTTGGGGCCGTCCATAAATGACGTCACGCGATTTTGGACGATTTTTTACCACCCCCCCCCCCCCCCCCGAAACCATATTTCCATTTTGAAAATAAATCATGCTTCAAATCGCTTTAAACTATCGTCATTGTAACGCGTATTTAATTTGGCCCTGCACTCTGATGTAGGCCAGAGGTGGGGAACCTTTTTTCTGCCAAGGGCCATTTGGATATTTATAACATCATTCGCGGGCCATACAAAACTATCAATTTAAAAATTAGCATGTTATATTTGGTCAAACATTTAATTAACTCACTCCTAATATGATGACTGGAACTGCTTCTCTTGGGTGAGGCGTGTGATATTAGCTGGTATTGATGATGTTGCTGCTCGCAACTGCTTTTCCAGGTTTGCTCCTAGATTTATTGAATTTCGAGTCCTGCCTGCGGTTGCCTTGGCAGGGCCAGACCAAATGATTTCGCGGGCCTTATAAGGCTCGCGGGCCGGATGTTCCCCACCCCCGTTGTAGGCGAAAACATGTGTTGTGGTGCAAAGACGACTCGGAGGCAGATCTTCTTTAGGGGCTTACGCCAGGGGTTTATTAGGGGCTTACGCCAAGGGTTTATTAGGGGCTTAAGCCAAATACGGGCTAAAAGATAATATACTTCTCCCCAGGGGTAGGGGTCCTAGGCTCCCTAGCACAACTAGCTTCCCGGCCGAGGGATCATCCAACATCGGGCGGCCGGGTAAAGCAGCCACTCCTAATGCTAGTGCTAGTTCCCTTCTAGACTCTGTCAGCCCTACCTCTGGGTCTAACTTACACACTTCGCGTTCCCGGGCTCCTGCGACGACCTCACTGACGTCACGAGTTCCCGCTTAAGTACCACCGGGAGACATAACGTGATCGCCTCACCCCCTGTGCAAGACGTCACTTCCCATAACGTCATCGCACCGAAAGGTCCGCATGACATCACATCGGAAGGTGAGCGTGACGCAATATCCCCGACTACTCCTCTACATCACCCCCCCCCCCCCGTGAAAAAAAATCAGCTGACCCGGCTGTAACAATTACGAAAGCGGAGCCCAATAACCCGAATAGGAAGATAACAACATGAAAAGCGCGAAGTGACCCACGTGTGAAGGCCGGACCGGCTGCTAGAGCACGAACCCAACATTAGGGCAGCACAGTGCAAGGCAAAGTTTGGAGCCCGCCATGACACGGAACAAGGTAAAAGTGGCGACGAAGGCTGAAGGCCGATGAAAATGGCCCCTTGGACCTTCATCACACGGGACAGCGTAAAAGTGGGCGATGAAGGCCGGAGGCCGAAGAAAATGGCCCCACTGGCCGTCACCGGATTCGCACGCCCCTCGAGCGTTTGTGTGCTGCCGGCCTGCTTCCCCGTGCGGCGTCGGTCGTCGGAACCGGCGGTGTCCTGGCAGCGACAGGTCCGTCGCCGGTACATCCACCGGATGAGGCATCACTGAAGGTGTTACTGGCGGGTGCTCTGCAGGCACGCACACAGGCAGGGCATCGCTCACGCCATCATGATCTGTGCGGCCTGGCTTGTCGGACGCATCAATCTCCGGCCGCTCCGGAAGTTGGGATGAATCAGTGAGGCCAGGTGGTACAACCTACTTGAGCCGAGACGGGTGCACTATGCAGTGATGGCGACCCAACCGAATACGGATACATTGTGGTCGGCGGACCTCTACGACCTAAACAGGGCCCTGCTAAGTGCGATGCAATATAGGGGACGTGCCAACAGGTACTTGGGGGCAGTGCAACCACGCCTTCTGGCCATTTTCCCATGGAAGGCAGAATTATCCAAAGCCGCCTGCCGTGCCTCATGCAACCAGTCGAGCACGACCTTCATTGGGGCGGGCACTGGCGAACCTTTTTTAGAAGGCCCTAGGTCCAGTTGGACGTGCATCGGGGGCTCTGGTTCCCTTCCATACATCAAATAAAAGGGAAACCCTTTCAAGACATGAGGAGCCAACCTATACGCGGCTAGAACCCCCGAAATGAACAGGTCCCAGTCCGATTGGGACGCACTCACGTGGTGGCACAGCATGGATGTGAGGGTGCGGTTCAAGCGCTCTACCATCCCGTCGGACTGGGGATGGTAGGACTAGGTGCGGATTTTCTTTGTGCCAAGGAGGTCGCAGACCTCATTGAGCAACCGAGAAGAAAAGTTCCGCCCCTGATCGGTTAACAGCTGTTCTGGCGCAACCTTGTCCAGAAAGTACCCCTGTACGAATGCTTCAGTGATGGACGAGGCTGACTTGTCCATCAGAGGCCACGCCATAGGCCAATGTGTGAGGTACTCGACTCCGACCAAGAGGTACCTGTGGCTCCATTGGGATGCTGGGAATGGGCCAAAATGTCGCGTGCCACGAGCTCATTGACACGAGAAACCCGGATGGACTGCAGCGGGGCCCGATCCTGACCAACTGGGGCCTTCCTCCGCGCACAGTCATGGCAACCCGTCAAAATCAGTGCCACGTCACCCTCCACACCCAGCCAATAGTAGTCCCATTTAAGGGTCAACAAGGTCTTATTGTAGCCAAGGTGCATAAGTTTCTTGTGAATATATCGGGTTAATTTACCTCGTAGGCCAATGGGCACAACCACACAATAGCGTTCCAATTGGGCATCCCAATGCATGAGGAGACTGTCATGCACAGTAATCACCGGGGCAGCCGACAGAGCTGAGCTAAGGGCATTTGGCCCAAAATGACATCGTAGCCTCAGCAGAGAGGAATCCTCCATCTGCAACTTGGACCATACCTCTCGGGGGAGTCCCAGGCCGAAATCAACAGGCAACGCCACACCCAGAGGGGGAGCCGCTTCGGCCGATTCAACCAACTGGGCCACGGTGTCCACTGGGGCCGTGCAGCGGCTAGAACCCAGGGCACAAGCGCACCCGCCGTCCGTAGGCAGCCTGGAAAGGCCATCCGCATTTCCATGCTGTGCCGCCTTCCTGTGGATGACGTAAAAGAGGTACTCTTGGAGCACCTCGAGCCAGCGGGACAGCTGACGCAAGAGCTGGTCAATACGCAGCGAATATTGCTGAGCCACATGGTCGGTCCGGACGGTAAACCGCCTACCATACAAATAGGGCCTGTACAGCTGAACAAAGAACACTATGGCAAGCAGCTCCCTCTAGGTCACACAGTACCACTGTTCAGTGGGAGACAAAACACGGCTGCCATAGGCCACCACCCTCTCAACCCCTTCGAACACCTGAGCCAGGACAGCCCCGATGCCCGTGTCACTGGCATCGGTGTCGAGGAGGAACGGTTTCGAGAAGTCCGGATACCCCAAGGACGGCACATCCGCCAAGGCCGTGCGAAGTGCCACAAAAGCGGCTTCCTCCTCTACCCCCCAGCGAAAATTTTGATCTTTGGCGGAGAGTGTGTGCAGTGGCTTTGCAATTGTCACAAAATCGCAGATGAACCAACGATAGTACGATGCTACGCACCTCAGCGACAGATGTAGGAGTCGGCCACGTCCGGACACAAGCTGTCTTTTCCGGATCGAAGGCAACACCTGACGCACTCACAATGTGTCCCAAATACTTCACCGATGGTTGCAATAAGTGACATTTCTGTGGTTTGAACTTCAAGCCCGCGGCCCGCACTTTGACGAACACTGCCTCAAGACATTGCAAGTGCTCGTCAAACGTACGGCCAAAAACAATAACATCGTTTAAGTAGATTAAACAAGATTCCCACTGCAGCCCCGCCAAGACCATCTCCATGAGACGCTGGAAGGTGGCCGGGGCCAAATGGAGACCCATAGGAAGCCGATTGAATTGGAACCCCTGGGGTGTGCAGAACTCTGCCTTGGGTCTAGAGGCCTCGTCCAGTGGGAATTGTCAGAAGCCTGAGAGCAAGTCTAGGGTCGAAAAGAACCACGCACCCGAGAGAGTGTCCAGGGAATCATCCATGTGAGGCAATGGATATGCATCAGCCACCGAGATCTTGTTCAATTTACAGAAGTCGACGCAGAAATGGAGATTCCCGTCCCGTTTCTTGACCAGCACAATGGGGGCACCCCAAGGGCTAGTGGATGGGGAGATAATGTCTGCTGCCAACATCTCGTCAACTGCGGAGTGGACATGGTCCTTTTCTGCCGGGCTAAAGCAGTGTGAATTCAGCCTAATAGGGGCCGAGTTGCCCGTATCAATGTGATGTTCCAAAAGAGGGGTGTGACCGAGATCGAATTTACTCTTACTAAACACATCGATGAACCTCACAATGAGTTTGCGGAGCCGCTGGCGCTCCTCAGAGGATACCGAGGCATTCTCGTTACACAACGCATCAATCCACAATGCGTTGGTCCTCCCCTTGTGCAGCACACCTGCCACAACCCCTCTAGCTGGCCTAGCGTCGTGGGGAGGAGGGCCCGGGGTGGTGTGTGCTAAAACGGCACTGGCCGGAATGACGATTGGCGAGGGCCCCGAATTTAGGACCTGTAAAAAGGGGTCCTGGCCCTCCGACACGGCTGTCAATGCGCCTACCAACCCGTCCGTCCTTGAAAAGTAATTAGAGGGAGACAAGAGGATACCTGCCTCCGGGGAATCCAATTTCAATGGTCTGCACAGCCTGAGGGGTAGTAGGACTTGTGACCCCGGTGGTATAGTGACAGACACCTTAGTCAAGGCCCGCACACTGGCAGCAAGGGGGGACAGTACAGTGAGAGATTGCGACTTGCATGGGGCCCCGAAGCTGCTCCTGACGAGAAGCCGGTGGAAGGAGAAGAGGCCTTGGCGAACGCCCCGGGAGCATTGCAGCAGCCCCGCTCGATGTGGCCCCGCTAACCACAGTGGAAGCAGGAGACCGGCTCAGAGCCCTGCGGGCGAGGAAGTCCCGCCCACCACCGCTGCTCCGGCCGGCGACCTCCGGCACCCCTTCCACGGTGGTCGGGCACTGCCAGGGCCGCGAGGGTCGCCTCTGCAGTCGCTGAGACCCCGCGCACGCCGCCACCCCGGGCGGCTGTTGCAACGCAAGGTGTGCCTGAATGTTCTGGACCACTTTTAAAGATGTTATGTGACCCTCCTCAGCTATAGATAATGCGATAATGAGCTTCCACGTAAGGGAGAGCAGTTGTTCGAAGGCGAGTCCAACACCTTGCCCGCAAGGTCGGGGTATGCAGCCTGAGCCAGCGCCAGGAGGGAGCAGCGGTACGCAAGTGGTGACTCTCCTCCTCCCGCCGCCGTATGGAAAACTTCAAGCGTGTGCTGGACGGCGGCTCAAACACGGCAGCCATCTGTTGGTACACCGCCAGGAGCGATGCTCTGTCAGCCAGTGGGATAGCCTTGAACGCCTGTAGCGCCCACTCGTCCAAGCACGTCGGAAGGGCCCGCAGCACCTCTTCCATCGGCGAACTCACCGACTAGTACGCCGCATCGAAGCGGTCTTGAAAGGCCAGCCAGTCGCCCCCCTTCGCGATGAACGGCGCGACAGGAGGCAACCGGCGCAGCCGCCGGTCACCCGACGATATGTATGGCAAGGACGCACCTACAGCCCCCCCCCGACGGCGTCTCCAAGGCCGCGGCAGCGACGCCAAGTTGTCGAGCCGCGTAAGGCCCGGCCCCCAACTGGCATGCCGCGGCGGGGTGCGGAACTGCGGCGGCGGAGCGTCGGCGACCATGGCGGCGGCCATGGCGGCGGTCATGATGGCGGTCATGGCGGCGGTTTGCGGCGTCGCATCCAAAATGGCGCCTGGTCACGGCGTCGCACGCAAAATGGCGCCCGATGGTGTCGCATAAAAAATGACGCCCAACTCCCGCGGCGCGTCCGTTGGGGAGTTGGCGCAAAATTAAAAAGATGCGGGAGTTGAAGTGGCGGGAATCCACCACTCCCGCTCCAAAAATGTGTCGGGAACGTGCACACGCTCTCCCACCTCGGCCACCGTGATGGCGAGCTGCGCCACCGTCCGCAGGACCAGCTCCAGCTGCCCTGAGAAGGCCCACCTCATGTCCGGCGGCAGTGTGCCGGCTCCACCGCCGCCGTCTCCTCCTGCTCCACCCGACCCGGCTCCATGGGGCACATCTCCAGGGTCCCGGTCTCCGGGATCACCGCAGGACCCTCCTCCGCAATATCTTCGTCGTCGGAATGCACCGCTGGCGGGATTCTTCATCTCGTGTCAGACTTGGACATGGCGGCGAGCACTGAAGTCACTTACAACACCAGTTGTTGTGGTGCAAAGACGACTCGGAGGCAGATCTTCTTTAGGGGCTTACGCCAGGGGTTTATTAGGGGCTTACACCAAGGGTTTATTAGGGGCTTACACCAAATATGAGCTAAAGGATAATATACTTCTCCCCAGGGGTAGGGGTTGAGAATATTATATTCAAATTCTCTTATAATTATCATATATTAAAAGTAATTATAACTATAAAAAATACTTGAAACTTTGTAGTAGAATGAAGCAAAATGGAGAGTACAATTATAACAATCACATATTCATTACAGAGAATGAAAAGCCCTAGTAGAATCATTAAAATCTAAATGTTGAATAACTAAATTTATGCTTCTCCATTTTCCGATGGAGAAGCAAAATGCTCCTTCGTGGAATAAATAAAAGGTGACCTTAGTGAATTTAAATAATCAAATAGTTAATAATAAAAATTAATCAAAATTAATGTTGTTATAACAATTCTATTTAATTAAGTAGAACGTGTTGTTTCCATTTAAAGTTGCGCATTTTAATGTGACATCACATTTCTCAAACCCCCCCCTCGTCACACATTGTCAAAAATGTCTGACCCCCCCCCCCCAGGTGCGTGACATCATTTATGGTCAGATCCCTTTGTACAACGCAGGACACGCATGTTACAATGCAGAACATGATCATTATAATGCGGTTTCTGAGTGGTCGACAGCAAACTATTTTGATTCATTGGTTTTTTTGGTAAAGTCACATATGTGACTTGAAAGCTTTAATACTTTATTAAACTATTTTGAGCTGCGCTGTAATATGATAAAAGCGGACATTAAGTAAAAGTGAGCATGTTATGGATCGCAAATTATGATCCATAATATCGATTCTGCCACACAAAATCGATTCTGCCCTGTCAATTCGGACATATGTCCATTTGTAAAGAAGATCCTTAAGAGGCATGGATGCATCCATTTTTGTAGAAGAGATGTATTTCTAACTGAATGTATTTACAGTTCCTAGTATAACAACCGCCACACTCGTGATTACTATCTTCAGCCCCGATGGTTTCCACTTTGTTGATCTCGAATAGTCTGCCCTGATGTCGTCCACCTGTGGTCATCGATTAGTCCCCGAGCAAGTGCGCTGACCGTGGGCCTTGCTCCCCCTTATATGCTCACTCGGCCCCACCCCTATCGGACAGTACCCCTCCCACTTTACAATAACACGTGTCTTTCATTGAATAATGATTACAGTGCCTTCCGGCCACATGTTTCCAATTATCTCAACGCATGGCTTCTATCACTTTCTCTGTACAGTCACCTAAACATTGAACAGAATCAATAACATGAAATCAATGCCTATTTTATTTGTCAGCTTTTATCGTATTACAGCGCAGCTGAGCAGATTGGTGCAATACGCTGAGTGATACAGTATGCGGCAGCGTACCCTCATCTCACTTCTTTGTCCTGGTATAGGATGACTGCAGGATGTTTTTTTTAGTGCAAATATGATTTAGTAGCAGTAATACCTTGCTTAACGCAGCACTTTTCAAAAACGCATCTGCATTAAACAAGGGATTACTTGATGTATGTGTATGGGACGCGTCAGTGTAGCACTTAGCGCGCTGCGCTATGCACCTGGCGACCCAGGTTCAATTCCTGCTTTAGGCCAACACCAGTAACGATGATCTGAACCGGTCCTGGGCCTCTCTTAGGTCGACTCAGCTTCAAATGAGTACCTAGTACAATGTAAACATCGCCGCTCGGGAGACAAAAGCGGCCGGGCATGGTACTGGCCACGCACCCCCTCGTGTGCCATGCCAGCCTTCATAGGTGCTCGCTAAGAGCACTTACCCCAACAGTCTGTTCAGGTTACACGGGGGTCTTTGTGCGGGGAGAGGTGGTGTCGTGGTTAGCGCATTTCCCTACAAACCCAGCGATCCGAGTAACCAAATTCTAATCCTATTCATGGCTAACATCAGTGACGAACATCTGAACTGGTCCCAGGCCTTCCATAGGTTATCTCAGCCTTAAATGAGTACCTTTGTTAAGTGTGTAAACACCAGCACTGGAGGCACATTGGGAGATAAAGAATATTGGTGAGAATAATGCGGGAATGTCAGATAATTGTGTTTCTGCAACTATTTCTCATAAGCTCAGCTGCTATTTTGCTGAAACATGAATTGCTCCAAGTGTTGTCATGCTAATGTAAAATGGAATCCCTCAACATGTATAATTGTATAGTCACATTGAAAGACTGGGCCACAGAATGGTGCTAATTTTCAATTGAAATTCAGTTCGAGTTGAAGGGAACCACTCGGATAACTCCGAATGGCTACCTTCAACTCGAACTGGATTTCAACTTGCGATCTTCTGACTGTGAGTTAAGCACTGGCCAAAGCTCTGGCTGGTTGAATTACTTAAAGGCTTGCACCACATGTTTCAATATGGGCATGGATACTCACCACTGTAGCTCAGCTCTTTCAGAATGTTAATTACAGCCTTTGGATCTTGATTTGCTTTTTCAGTCAATGCAAGTTTTGTCTTTGCTTGAGACGCAAATACCACAATGGCATATTTTGCTTGTATCGCATAATTTGACATCTATAACACAAACACGTGCCTTTAAGTCACAATGAAAAACAATATTTAGCAATTAAAAATATTAGTGTATTTAACTTTCATTTAAAGGTGTGTATATCATTGTTGCTTTTAGATTTTGGGCCCTAATACTGAATAATACACTGTTTGCCCAAAAATCAGTTAGTATGGGAAATGTGTCAAATACAATGCCAATACATGCTCAAAATACATCTGTAAATATAACATGATTATCAGAGAAGCATCAGCAATAAGTTTATACCAGTCTGTGCACACTGAGTTGGCTAATTACGTGTAAATGATTGAGAGGAAACCAGAACACCTGAAGAAAACCTATCACTGCAAGGGGATAACACGAATATTCTAACACAGACAAGTCAACAACCCACTTGCTGCACTGCTGTATGCGGTCATCGCATGTCCCATTAAAGTGCTCAGAAATGTACAAAAACCAAACGAAACTTAATTCCAATTAATACTCTCCCTTCAACTGTACATCAAAAACGTAACATAAAAACGCATTAACTTCACAACTGAGGAGTGTGTGGTTTTAGAGTGCTTACATATGTAGTGACATGGAAAGGGTCACTACGTAGCATAGAAGGGAAGGGGATCTTCAGTTTCAAGTTTCATTCATTAGGTATAGCCCTGTGAGCCATGCGGCTCTTGAGTCGGGTGCAACCGCAACAAACAAAATATGAACAGAGAACATCTTAAAGCGACGACGCGCAACAGAAACATCCTGGATAAACCAGTAAATCTTCCAGAAAAAAAACCCCCACCGTATTACAACGCTGTGTGCAAAAATCCCAGTGTGATGCAAGACAAACAATAACAACCATAAGACAATTTAGATTCAAGTTATCAGGCCAACTCCGCACTTCCGCAAGAAATATGGCTTAACCATATGTTTTCGAAATCACCAAAATAAAACTATAAAATACAATGTAACAACAGAAATCATAGGAACTTTTATTCAAATTTAACAATAAACGACATACATGACATGTACGACCAAACTTGCAGCCATATCTGGTAGCATGACACTCCCAGTGTATGTGTGAGTGAGTCAGTGGTAGTGTGAGTGAGTGTATGTGTAGTGCCTTGGATTCACTCTGACGTCAATCGCCTTTCTTCCACCGTCACTTTTATTTCCATCGTTCCGCACACTATAATTTCTCCTTTCCGCGCTCCGCCAACTCGAACACTCGAATTCTCTTCAGCACCGTCCGCTCATACTCCTTGTCTCCACACACAGTCTCTTCTTCTCTCACAGCACACACAGTGGTTCTATCTCTATCTCCTCACACACAGTGACTCGTCTATCTCTTCACACACAGTGGCTCTGTCTATCTCTTCACACACAGTGACCTGTCTATCTCCTCACACACAGTGACTTGTCTATCTCTTCACACACCATGACTTGTCTATCGCTAACTCTCCCTGTACCTACCTATACCGTAAACTCCACTCTGCTAACGCTAACTCTCGTTATCGCTATTTATTGTCCTCTGGGTTCGGCTCTCAATCTATTTCCCACTAACACTCACTGGGCTTCCACTATTCGCATCTCTCTCTACCCGCTGCTGTCTCCACTTCTCGCCAACTCCCCTGCCGTGCAAATCACCTCGCGTTTTTATCCCCTTTCCAATCAGCCTTAATTAATTGCCACGTGCCTCGCTGGCTTTTTCCCGCCAGCTCCGCACCTGTCCAACGGCCCAAACTCCGTGACACCGCCACTTAACACTAACAGCCTCTCGACCAATCACAGCCCTTGTCCCTTAACTCCCTTAATTACTTTGGCTTGTTTACGCCACCCGTGACTTCATCACCTGATCGAACTTACATGACCCACACTGTTTGTATGTACTGTATATGGCCAACTTACCCATGTGTATTGTCTACTCCAATACATATGTATGATGTGTGAGTCAGCGTATGCTGAGTGAGTCAGTGTATGATGTGTGAGTCAGTGGTAGTGTGAGTATGATGTGTGAGTGAGTCAGCGTATTATAAGTGAGTGTATGATGAGTGAGTCAGTGTATGATGTGTGAGTGAGTCAGTGGTTGTGTGAGTAGTCAGTGTAAGATGAGTGAATCACGGCATCCTCCCCGCCATCACGGCCTCCTCCCCGCCATCACGGCCTCCTCCCCGCCATTGCGGCCTCCTCCACGCCATCGCGGCCTCTTCCATGCCATTGCGGCCTCCTCCACGCCATCGCAGCCTCCTCCACGCCATCGCGGCATCCTCTACACCATAATGGCGCGGAGGAGGCTGTGTGCGCGCACTAACCACGCAGCACGCGCGCGATTCTCGGACGTTCCTCGCTGCCTCTCCCACACTGCTGCCCTTGCCGCCTCACGGCTACTTTCAGCGCGGCAGGCGCCGCGTGAGACACGAGGCACCGAGAGCAGTTGCAGCAGCCCTGTCTGTCAGCAAGTCACGTGATAAGCCAGAGAGAGGGATGTAAGGCAAAAGTGATAGAGGCGGCACGTGAGGTAAGCCCGGGAACCCACAAGTAGGTTCTAGAAGGGGGGCGTGGCCGGGGCGGAGAGAGGCATGCTGGGAGGATAAAAGGGGACTACGAACGAAGGCTCGGGGCTGTGGCTAGGAGTGGAATCGCGTCGTGCTGCTGGAGTCTTCGTCACCGTCTTCACCTTCTCGGCATTGTCAGTCAGGCAGTCTGTTAGCTGTCCTGACTGAAAGTGTAGCTACCGTTTGTACCCTGTGAAGGCTATAATAAATAGAGTGCCTCCTACTCATCGTGTCTCTAAGTGCATCACTACATTTGGAGTCAGAGGTGTTAAAGAAAATGTTTTTCTATATATATAGAAAATGTTTTCAATATGTCGAAGTCAACCAAGAAGAAGGCTTCTACCATTGTGGCCTTGGGCAAAGAGGATGACGGAGCGGTGATTTCCCCGACAGCCCCGGAATCCAGGACCCTGGAGACTGGTCCTGAGGAGGCGATCCCTGTGGAGCAGCATGTGAGGGACATCGACTTATCGCTGCCGCCGACCGGAGAAAGATGGCGCGCGCACAACGTGTACCTCGCGGACTTGCTTTCCACTGCGGCGGAATTAGATGCCCAGCTCAGATTGGAGGCGCCTGTTGAAGAGGCTGCTGCACGGGTGCATCGAGCGGGCAGCTCTACCTTCACCGTTGTCCAAGCGCGGGAATTGGCAGAGCCCCAGCCCGCACAAGCGGCCGCCATTTTGCCTGCCGGGAGTGGCGCGCCAAATTCGGCCGCCATTTTGTCGATTGGGCGGGAATCGCTTCCCACCAAATTCGAACTGCCATCAGCGTCTCGTCCGGATGTGCCTTCTCTGAAGAAGCGGCTGCCATTTGTGAAGGAGTGTGTGGCTGCGGAGGGCGACTGGACAGCCTTTCAGCGCCGTTTTGCCGCTACTTGTGTAACGTCATAGACAGAGAATACTTAGTTGCACTGGTGGACATGCGCCAGTAGGGGCTGATATGCGGGCCACCGGGTTTTCCCAGAGGGGGGCTGGGGGGGATGCTCTGGGAGCCCCTGGAACTCTCTGGAAGAGAGGCGTGGCCAGAGGCGGGGACGCCCGGGAAGGTGTATAAAAGCCGGACCCCTAAACGGGTTCGGCAGTTCTCCTCAAGCTGAAGACAGAAGACAGGGCTTAGAGTAGGACCCTGGGGACCCCCAGTCCCACTGTCCTTTTAAGGGCCAGGCTGTGAGGGCCAGTGGTCAGGACCTGTTACCTTGGCTGGGTCGGGTTGAGATAGCTTTCCCTAGCTCCCTTAGCCGGAGGGATGGAGTGAACGTTGTCCCAGTTGTAGGACACGATAGTCCGGAGGCCATACCTTCCCAGGTAGCGGGTGTAAGGGGCCGTTACCCCTTGTGTTAGGGACCTATATATCAGTTGAGTAATAAAGGAGTGTTGCCTCATACCTGCTTCCCGTCGTCATTGGGCTCACTACACTTGCACCCTCGCGAGGTGGTCCGATGAGGAGGCGCTACGACCTCTTCCCACCACCTTGGATGACGAATCCTTGGCAGCGTTCGATGCCATCCCCACAGCAGACAGGGCGATGCTGCCTCAAGCGTATGCCCAGATGGCAGAAATTTTCGACCCGCCGTCCAACATGTGTCGGCAGTTCGTGAAGCAAAGAAGGGGGGAGACCGAGACGTTGGACTTCGGCGGGTGGCGGATAGCCATGGGGGCCGGGGCAATGGGCCGCGTTGGTGCATTGTATCATGGCGGCGGCGGCGGGATCGTCCACGGTTATTGGGTTTCTGCAGGGTGTCGAGCTGCGGGTGTTCATTGACACGGGAGCATCCGCTAGCATTATTTCAGAATTTATTTATAAATCCTTACCGTCGAAATTGAGTCGTCTCAATCAGGGAAATAGGTCGTGTGTCACCGCTAATGGCGGGAATTTGGGAGTTTGGGTATTGTGGGCCAAATATCAGCTACAGTACGTATCGGGGACATTGAATTGACAGGCCCAGTGTTAGTCTCAAAGACGTTGGCCGTGCCTTGTCTGTTGGGGACTGATTTTCTTGGAAGGACGCCCCTTAAGATTCTGGTGGACCAGGGGTGTATTGAGCTGCCGTCGGGGCGTCGATTGGCGTTCACATCCCCAACTCGATTGTGAAGGGCCAATGCCACGGTTCAAGCCCTCGTGAAGGAGATCGCCATGGTCCCTCCCGGTGCTCAGATGCGGGTGCCCTTGCACCAGCATCTGAGCAGCTTGATCGCGAAGAAACCATGGGAGGGGTTCTTTTAACCACTTCGAAAAGAGCGGTTCGAGGTCTCGCATTGGTGGGGGCCCATACGATAGTTGGGGGGGACCAGGAACCCTTCCTGCAGGTGTTGAACGTTGGGCTGGGTGCCGCGGTTGTCCAGGCGGGTATCGTTTTGGCCCACGCGATGGCCACGTATTGCGAGGTCAGGGATGTGACCGGGGAGGTCGTTGCCGCGGTGGAGTGGAGAGGCGAGCCAATGAGGCTTGGATGGATGCGCTGTGCATCC